GTCCTCTTGGTGACATGACAAGTGACACTTGGGCATACAAAATCCATACTCATATTGAACCATTACACCCCTCAGGGCTGTAATCACAATCGCACCCCATAGGGCTATAATCACATTTCACCAATTATACTCTCAAGTACACTTCGTACATGTACCAATCAACCCCAAAGTATTTAGCCCAACATACACGTACAGATCAACCGATAACATTGACAGAATTTCATATCAATCAGAATAATCAACAGGAATACAAATTTCAGATAATGAAAGAACACTCTTTGTAAAGAGATTTAAAAGATAGGAGTATATTGTATATTACCCCGTACCTCAAATCCATCAATGATTTCAATAGATGCGAAATTTGAAATACCCCGAATCAAATAGTCAAATTTGATAACAATCCAAAATAAAATTATTGCTTAATTTTTGACCCCAAGATCTCATAATTTTTTTTTCTTCTATTCCATCAATCTATCTTTCTCTTTCTCTTTCTCTTTCTCCTTCTTCTCTTCCCTTCTCTCTCTCTCTCTCTCTCTTTTCCTTTTGTGCTGTTGCGTTCAAATAGCCTGGACTTGGCTATTTATAACCAAGTCTTGCTTGGTCTCCAAGCATCACATGGACACTTGTCCATGTTCTCTCGTCCCTTTCCTTTCTCTTGCACGTTTTCCATTTTCTCAACTATATATATATATATATATATATATATTATTTATTTATTTATTTATTTATTATATTATTACGAAACTTGACCTAAATTGTAGTTATTTGACTTATTTTCACGCGAAAAGTCTATATTTGAGGTTCATTTATTCATAAAAAAAATTATTTATTATTTTTTTTAAAATAATATTTAATTATATAAAATCATAATTGATTACTTAATTAGCGTGTCAATGATTAATTTATATACGGGTCGTCACAATCTACCCCTCTTAAAAAAAATTTTGTCCCCGAAATTCGATTCTAATCTCAAGAATAAGTATGACTACAAATATCCGCTGCGCACTCTGATACCTTTTTTAACTATTTGTCATATAACCCAAAATTTTGATATGAATTCCATCTTATACATCCACCTAATGGGAATAGGTTAACTTACTTTGCACACTTCAAACTTCTATACCTACAACGAAAGCTGATAGTCTCATTCCCCACAAGACTCATATAAGATCTGATACCTAAGCTCTGATACCTACTTGTCACGTCCCAAATTTTACAAAAACGTGATTAAAACAAACACTTTGTTTATTTAAAAAAAGCACATGCCGGTATGTTGTAAAACATCGAGGAAAGTATCTCTTTAGTTGAAAATAAATCATTTTTTTAAAAAAAAAATTCAGCAGAATTTCCTTTGAAAATTGGGCTTTCAACCAGTTAGTAAGAGCATTCATGTGAAAGAATTACATAATTCTAATTAACTAAACATCCACAACATGCCTCCATCCAAAAATATAATCCAACTCATTTCGGGGTGGCAATTAGAGGTTCACAAAGTCCTCTCAAACCCGGATACATCCAACCCCAACACATACCACAACTTAGTACCCAAAGTCATAACTTTACATTACAATATCCAAAATAATAATCCCTCTATAGGATAATCAAGTGTATACCAAAAATGCCTCAAGATAACCTTTTCAAATACAGTGCTTGAGTTCTAACATTTCTACATAAGTTCTAAAAATAAATACAAAAAACTCCAAAAGAGATTCTTTCTAGTCCAAACTTCCACAAGCATTCCGTCACTTATGCCTTAGGATGCATGCTAGTCTCTGAAAATATTAGTAAGGGATGAGCAACCACGTGCTCAGTAGGATAATCCTTTTTTCAAGGATTTACAAAGTTTTAAAAACAAACATTCCACAAATCATACTAATAAGTAATGAAGCATTATATAATTAAATACAAGTACAAGATAATAAGTAAAGCATTTATAAAAATCTCCCAATACCTTAACATTAGAAATATACAAGGTATAAATCAAAGTCAAACCATCATAGTAAATACCATGCATGTCTCGCATACGGACAATATCATTAATCACACCGGTTCACGCATGAACCATCTCCGGGGAACCTCTTTGGGTCTTGCACCCTAGGGTCTCATCGCCCTTCTTGCTTTTCAAGGGGAACGTGTAGGGCACAACTTGTGATGCCACATAGGTCATCACCGAAAATCACTATCATAACCAATCCCCCTTAGGACTAGTAGTCGCCTTGACAACCCACTCAATAGGCTCCAACCATCTACTAACACTCTGTCTGTCAGTATCATGCATACATTTTTTAAAAATCATTATTTACGATATTCATAAATTCTTTTGAAAAAACATGTCATAACTTTGACATTTTATCAAATATGTGGTAAGCTTAAATCTCAAAAGTTGCATTTCCAAAGCAACACAACCATTTTCAAGAGAAAATAAGTCACATATATTATGTACAAAATAATAGCATACTTCAAAACCCCCAAATTATAGGTTTAATCAAATACCCATAACTAAAATCAAACTAGGACATTTTCATTTTCAAGAGAATAAGTCATATTATGTACAAGATCATAGCATACTTTAAAACCCCCAAATCATTAGTTTTATCAAATACTCATAACTAAAATCAAACAAGGGTTTCAAACCCATAACACTAAAATTAATTTTTTTTTAAGAGAATAAGTCATATTGTGTACAAGATCATAATATACTTCAAAATCTCTCAAATCATAAGTTTAATCAAATACCCATAACTAAAATCAAACAAGGGTTTAAAACCCACCACACTAAAATCATTTTTATGCATGTAGGTTCACAAATTCATGGCATATTCAACACTATACTAAAGTTTATAACAAGAATTTTGCCATCAAGCGCATAGTAAGTTTTAACTAAAAAAAATATATGAGATGCAGAATGTCAATGCAAGAGAAAGGAAAACCTCACCTAAGAATCAAGAATTCCAAGCCAAATTCCTAAAATTTTCAAGCAAAGTCCAAGCTTTATGGACCTTCTTCTTTCCCTTTCTCTTTTCTCTTGTCTTCTCCTGAGTTTTAAGAGGTTTTGGGTGAGAGATGTGAGAAAAAATGGAAGAAAAGGGGCTGAAATCTGTGTTTTAAACACAGCAGCTCCGAATTATACTGTTCATGGGCTGAAAAATTAATTTTTTTCTCCGAAATTACGATTTTGCCATTAAACATTCTAATTTGATACATATGACTATACTAAGGTTTTTCGACGTTCTGAATTTATTTTTAATGTTATTTTAACCTAAAAATATTTATTTTTATGATTTATCTCAAAATAAAAGTTAATTTACACCAAAAACACTAAAATCATTATTTTACCCTTTTCGAACCGCTATATGAGCTAAACGTCTATTTCAAGTTTTTCGGACCTCCCAGATTCAATGGAAATATTATTTTGACCCAAAAATATTAATATATTTACTTAGATATCCTTATCAACCTTAAACACCTCCAAAGATTAAATTTGACACAAAAGTCAATACGTTCGCACTTCAAGCTTACGCGACTATTTTTTAACAACGATTCGAAGTTTCTCTCATCATTTTAATTATTTTAAAAATACTAGCAAATTAATATCATTTATATTTACATAACACACAGGATCTCATAATACCATATGTTAGAGTTTACCTCCCTCGACATGTTTTTTCCCATAGTCAATTATATGTCGTATTATTACAAGGAACTTCGATGTCAACAACAAAGGTTTTGGTCAAACCAAATAATAAGAAAAGAAGAGAAGGAGCACATATGAAGAATATTGTGTACAAAGAGGTTTTATCCCCGCACAAGTAATGATATGCATGAATTCTTGTTCTTATGTGATTATACAACTTCTTTATACAATTAATAAAAATAGTGTAGTATTTCAATTATGAAGTATTTCACATTCATGATTAATGCTTTATTGATGATGAAATAGCGAGGCTCCAGTTCACTCTACAGATTCAGTGGATTAATGTTCGAAACTATAATTACAATTTAAAGCAGCTTAGCCTTTGCATATTCTACCGTCGCCTTTTATTTTTACAGATTTGTTCTACTTTTGGTAAATAGGTTACTAATAGCCTATTGGGCTTGTTTTTTAAAATGAATCTAAAAAATTGTTTAAGTTTGACTTGTTTATAAAATGAGCTGAACTTAGAATAAGTTGAGTCTGATTAGCTCAACTATTTTATATATAAATAAGTAGAGTGAAAACATTGTTCAAGGTTGTCCCGTTAAAAATATGAGTTGAACTAAATCGACTCTTATATTAGTTGAATTTGAACCGAGCCCGAATAACACTAGTTTCTTATTAGCCCTAGTTAGAGGCCCAAAAAAGTTAATTGGAAAGGAACAAAGTAAAGTTTTTTTTTGTTTTGCAGTTTTTCATAATTATTAGCTGTTAAAAGGATCCAAATGGCAAGGGTCTGTATCGGGCCAAACGAGCCTATCTGATTGCCAGGCCTATAGAAGACCTTCTGGAAACATACGGCCCACGACTTGTCTATCGGGTCGGTTTAGTGGGCATGTATCAGGCAATCCATCGCGACGATTCTAATGAGCTTTTCTTTTTCATGTTTTTCTAATTTTGATGGGTTGAGCAATGGGCTTTTTTGGTGAGCCGCCTTTTGTAGGCCTTAATCAGCCCAGTCAGTTGGACCCAGAGGCAAAAGGCATAGCCCTATCCACTGGTCTGTTCACTTGGGCTTTTGGACCAACTCTTGGGCCTCAATTTTTTGTAAACATTGAGTGATAACCATTTGTCGAAATTACATCTGTGCACAAGCGCTTGAACCATCCTATCAACATTCATTTCACATAACCACTTTGTTGCACTGGGAAACTCACTTATGCCCAAATCCATTGACAATAATCAACACACACACCATAGTCATATCTAAAAACATAGCAATTAAACACAAGATCAAGAAGTATTGAGACACAAATGATTAAGAATAATTACACAACTATATCGAAGTAGGCGAGGAAATCCACACAAGATGGTCTGCTGGAAAGAAATGGCACACCCCAGGAGTCCCCGCTTCAATTCCGAGCACACGGAAAGACACATGATTCCGGCTCCATTGAGAGGTGTCAGTGTGACAAACAACAACAGCTTCCACCTTATCTCCATTCTCCCCACCTAATAAAATCTTAAACACCTTGTAAAACCAGTAAAAGAAGGAAGAGACTCCGAGTAGCAAGTTTAAGGCCCATCTTTCTTCTTTTGCTTGGAATTACTTTCTAAGTCTTTCTGAGAACTGGGCAAAACTCACCTTACTTCAGTAAGGATAAGCATGAACAAGTTTCTCTATTATTGTGGGATATTCAATATTAAGTCATCATGCCAAAGACTGGACCTCTTTGAGTGAAGTAAAGGCCCTTTTTCTACGAAAAAGCACAACCAAGCAATCAATCTACTGTTTGAATAAGCTATTCTATTAAATGTTAAGTACTGTTGAACAACTTGTAAAATTCTTGTGTTTTTTTGCTCCTTCTAACAGCAAAATTTATTAAAGGGGAAAAACTACGGTCCTGGAGTACCGAAATTTACAAATAAATAAGGGTTTGTACAACTCAGTTTACAATAAGTTATGACCCGATGAGGGCAAAGCTATATCTTAAAAAAAGTTGGAGCCGATCTGTGATATCCCAAAATTCGAGTGTATGTAATTACCCGATTAATCACCTATCAATCTACGGAATACCCGTAGATATTATATAATTCGTTATCACGCCGTTATGCCCTATTTATCGAGATACATAACTTAATGAAATTTTGACAGAGTTTTTGTTGTACGAAAAATTTTACTCAAAACGTAACCTGTGTAACCATATAACATTGACCACACCAGGTTTATTCATCTCTACTCTTTAGCACAGTGTCAAATACTACTATAATCATCATCATTGCGTACATTCATTCATAAAAGAATAAATGTCTCAAAAGAGTCTTTTATACATGTCTTTTAAATATAAACAAATTTTTGTTACAAAAATTACACAAGGCCAAAAGTAAATATAAACAAGGGACTACGATGTCTAAAGAAGAGCCACAGACCGGCTCTGCGTCAAAGCGGGCCCATGGTCTCGCCTTCGGTGGACGTCTGTGCAATACCTGAAAAGTGTTCTCATAAAGGGTGAACCAACGCTCAATAGGGTAACTCTTATAGAGAATACCTTTCAACCTAAATACATATGAAAATATCACTTACAACAATCATTTCGTGCAATCATTCAAATATGTCTATTATGAATAAATGTCATAAATCATGTCATGTCATGAGATGAGACTCACGAACACAATACCAACACCGAGCCCCATCCTGAGCTCCTACAACACATGCAATGTCATACATATATATCCGGGCATTCCAAGTCCCGTTATTAGTGTTATGTATACTCAATGACTAATTAATTTATTTTCTTGTGTCTTTATGAGGAGATAATTTATGGTATTACATTAATGGGACACCAACCATCAACGAATTCTCAGGACATCCCACCTGCGATTTCATTTTGACCGTTACACTTTTCTGGAATTTCACCTCCGAAAAGTGTATAAACCAAGTAAGCGGGTCGTGTATCCGAGGGAGAATCTACCCCTTCTTGCTATCTCCGACACATATATCCATTTAATTTTTCGTGTGACTCAGCCGGACCTTAGTGCGACTTTTCTGAGCCCACAATCAACCACCTATGTGTTGATTGATTTCATCTCATGCACACACTCCCACCCATATCAATGCCCATGAATGTAATGTAATCTATGCATAATGGAATTTCAATGTGCAATTACCTTTGGTACCATTTACAATATCTATTACATAAAGAATACAATATAATGACATTTTCGACATGACAACATGTTTATTAATTCTATAAACATAAGCACAAGTCCACCACAATAATTATATGCTAAAAAATCATTTAACATACATATTATTCCATAATCACATAACAAGCTAATAATTTTATTAAACTTGATATGTCATTTAAAACATAAAACAATGGTAATGTACAATTAGCATGCTTTAAACTACTAACATTAACTTACACCAAGTTAATCATAATAGGATTTTCTAATTACAAAGTTAATTAGAAATCATATATTTGACACACTAGTTACACTAGTCAAGATCTAACATGTGATATATACTCACAGCCTACCCATTTCATATGTCATATTTTAGATTGAAAGTAAATCTAAATAGGGAAAATTCTACTTCTCGTAGCGTGAGCCCACGTACTGAAACTCCGAGGAAGTCTAATGTAACTTCCCAAACTTTAAACCTAAATTATCGTCTTTGATATTCTTTTGGAGAAAAATATGATATTTGATGTGGTTGCGTAGCTCTCGCTGAGTAGAGAAAAAAAAATTCTTTTCTCTCTCTCACTCACTCAGCAACCTGTTGGAGGAAGAAATTTTTTTACGTTTTTGACCTTTATATTACAATTAATTATTATTTTATCCCTTTAATGAAGATTTTTACTAATAATAATAATAAATTTTTTTTTCGGGTTTTGCACGATCCTAAAAGAATTAGGGTCAATCCTATATGTTAGCACCGTTAGAATCAACCCTAAACAACCTCATTTTTTTTTCAGTCTCAACAGATTGAATCGTAATCTACATTTTATACAATAGTAACTTTTGGTACGACACAAAAGAAGAATAACTCTCACCCTGCTGGAACAATGTACCTCTTGTATCTAAAACTTAGTGAAATTCCTCAATCATGATCTGGATTTGACCCATGTTATAAACAGAACTTAATGGTTCAAGTAAAAACTATCATATCTCTAAAAAAAAGTGGTATAGGAACATTTGGAGGTTGAAGATTAATTGTCAGTAGATTTGGTAATTGAATCTCAGGAGCCCACACACTTATCATGATCTTAACATCTAGCCATATGCTAATGTTTTTCACCAACAAGAAAAAGATTCCAAATGAAATCAAAAAAACAGAAAAAGAAATTCCACACTAGAGAATACCGATGTAAATATGATTACGAGCTGCAAAACAAGGAAATAGGAGAGGTTTCTACTGTCAAGAGTGTCCATCGATGGCTTCCGATGCTTAAGTCAATAGATGTAAGCGTGTTCATTGAAATATAATGGAAAGGCCAATACTTCAATCCTATTTGGTTTCCAAAATAAGCATTAAGATTGCTAATAATTAAAGTTTGAAAGATATGACGAGAAAGAGAGAATGATACTTGGTGCCTTCTTTTGATTCCAAGTAGGTCACCAGATTAGTATGCTGCCATTTTTTCACGTCTAGAAAGATCATAATATCAAGGATATGATATAATGAGCAAAAAGACAAAGACATACCATGTGATTCATATACTAGCAAACTAGATAATTATTGAAGTTTTGTACCCCATCAAATGTTGATATTTTTGTTTTTTTCTTTATACTCATTGAGTATATTGTTTAATGGGATTTTTTTTTCACGAGAGTGCCAATGTTGAAGATAAGAAGATGGTCGCATCATATAGACCCAAGTAAAATTGTAGTGGGTGTCTTGTATTCCATTTCAATTCGTATTTGTTCTGACATGAAATCTATTGAATTATAATTGAATTTTTTTTGGATCGATATTTGTAACTTGATCTGAGATAAACTGATGATTATTTGGAAATTTGATTTCTGTATGACTTGAAAACCTGAGTTTTCGAAAGCAAAGATATTAGGGTGCTACAAATATTGATAGAAAAAAAAACAAATATTGATAGACATTGCCGGGTTCTATTGTAGTGAAGGTTGTTGTAAGAAGATCCTTGTGCTAGTAAAGATTGCTTCAAATGATCAAGAAATAAGAAAAACAAATCATTAATAGACATAAGATTTTAAGTGAAACCACGTACAATTAAAAATTTTCTTATTTACTCATAGCAAAAGTCATGAAATAAAATAAACTTTCAATGAATAGTGTCTTCCAACGAAGGAGGGACCCTTCAATTCTTCGTTATCAATCACTCCATTCTAGAGATGGAGCTCCATCACCCATTACCAATAATATTGTTATATTTAATAGCCGACATGAATCATATATTAATACTAGTCATTACCCGTGTCTAAATGCCCTATAAAAAAAATAAAAAAATCTTAAATAAGCGTTCAAATTCAAAAGAAATAATCTAAAAATATTCATACAAATTCTTTTTTCAAATGGCTCATACAGTTTGGACCAAAAAATCTGACCTAATTTGCTGTTATAATAATGTGGCTTCATAAGAATCATTAGATCAACACCAAATTTATGTCAGTAAATTGAGTCTCAATAGCATTGCTCATTATATAGAAGATACTATTTAACACTTTATCTATATATAACAAATGGTTTTTGAGATTCCATGCAATCACAAAGAGTAAAAAATTTCTTATAGTATTGAAGACATGGAATCATCTTCTGCTTTCTTCACTATCCTTTTGCTTCTTCTGGTAAGCAAAACCAACTCAGAATCCCTTTTTAATCTATCTTTTCAAGGTGAAGAATCCTTATAAGCTTTATATATGTGATAATATACATCATGGTAATGTTTTTATTTAATGTTGTTGAGCAGTTTGCAACCATTACAGCTGCAAGACCAAATCCTGGAGAAAATTGGCAAGGTACCATGAAAGATAAGCTCATGCCTGAAGCAATTGTCGTCGAGGGTTCAAAGTCGTCTCTCTCAAACAAAGAAACGGACTGTCACACATCGACAGATGTAAGAACCAACGATCATTATGTTAGGAACGTCAAGGATATAAAAAAAGAAAATGGCTTTGCTGAGGACATTGAACCAAGGCCAAATCTCTCTGGATACCATGATGATGCTAAAGAGAATGGCATTGCTGAGGACATTGAACCAAGGCCAAATTTCTCTGGATACCATGATGATGCTAAAGAGAATGGCATTGCTGAGGACTTTGAACCAAGGCCTAATATCTCAGTTTATCATGATGATGCTGGTTTACAAGCGAATATACCATTTATCAAAGATTTCGAACCAAGGGACAGTGCTAGTGCTTATAAGGATTAAGATCAAATTCAAGTCTAATGCATTAATATGTATAATTTGAAGCTTTGTAAGAAGTATCTGGTCCATGTTTGTGTAATAGGTGGTATTAAATGTTTGTGATAATATGTACTTAAATAACGAGTGTGCGAAAATAAAAATTTGCGAATTTTTCTTATTTTCGACCTTCAACTTGTTGATATAAAAACCTTTTTTTTAATATGTTTAAATGAAAGTGATTGAAGTAGATTATATGGATTCAAGGATAAATCCAGGGTTTGAACGAGATAAAAAATTTATCGTCACATTCTTAAAAGAGTTTTAAAAGAACGAACTCATTGAGTTTGTGAGAATCATTTGGGTTGGCGTCCCGACTCTACCCCGCATACATCTTTGCATAAATATGCCAACAATTGTTATAAAATCTTGAAAAAGTTGAGGGTAAACAATCTCTTTGCAAACAAATAGGATGCATATGACCACTAGCAATTTTTTCACTGTACAATACAGAAACTTCCTTGGCAATAGCATTATACAACCCCCAATCAACACCGTTGAATAAATTAATTTTCTTGATTAGATGACATCAGACCATTGGAACGGTCTATATTGATAGCGCATGAGGTTGTACATAAGTTAAAGTAGGCCGACATTGCATATAACCAAAACCGGTTGATAAAGAAATGGAGTGATAGATATATCTTCCAGAAGTTGGCTTCAATACCCAAAAGTTGAAAATTGGTACAATACCGATTTTATCGGTATATATTTTAAAAATAAATAAAACAGTTACACACTTTAAAAATAAGTGAAAATAGAAATTAAAATTAGTTTTTAAAAATAATTATTATTCATCTTATTTAAACCTAAATAAAAATGTAAGAAAAAATTTACAATATTTGGAGTTATTTAGTGACATTAAATTTACGATTATGTTAAAAATATTAGAGGTTAGAATTAGGTTAATAAAGTTTAGCACATTTTTTTGGCCCTATAATGGGCAAAGAAGAAAAAAGAGTTACAGAATTGTTTTTTCCCTACAAACCCTTCAAGAGATTATAAAATAATCATCATTTATTAAAACTAAGGTTGAGATTATAGTAAGATTATATTTAATAGAAAATAAATACACTTAAAACTTTTTTTAGAAGAAAATTAGAGCAGTATGGTTCCAGTAAAAGTACCACTTTTTTAGTTAATATTATCATTCTTTTAATTAACATTACTACTTTTTTGGTTAAAATTACACTATTGAGGTAAGAGTATCATTTTTTTTGTTAACATTACCATTTTTTTAGTTAAGAGTACCACTTTTTTTGTTAACATTACCACTTTTTTTGTTAACATTATCATTTTTTTTTTTGGTTAGAAATACCACTTTTTTGTTAAGAGTATCATTTTTTGGTTAAGAGTACCATTTTTTTTATTTGGACTGCTTATGTAGCGATTGGAGTTTTAGTAGCAATCTTTGTAGCAAACGAATCTCGATCGCTCAACCAGCGATCAAGTTGCGATAATGTTTAAAATAAATTACACTTACCCCTAAATTATCACCCTTTTTTTAATTTTTTCCCCATATTTTTCATATTACACCCTTAACTATGTAATTAGTTTCATATTACTCCAAATTTTTTTACCTATTTTAATTTAACACAAAAAGTGTACCCAAATATGATAACTTTGTTGTAATTTCTTTAGTGGTGAAAAAATTTGTTGTAATAATTTTAACTTAACCCAAAAGTATTTAATTAACATGTAATTAACAAATTAATATTACATTAACACATTCAATTCATCAAATTAACACTAAAATTCAACTTAATTAATATTAAATTCATCCAATTTATTCCAAAATAGTCCAATTAACATACAATTTTTAATTTATCAAATCAACACTAAACAATATTATTTTTCATCCAAAGTATTTAATTAACATGTAATTAACAAATTAATATTAAATTAACATTCTAAATCAAACAATAAAGATTCAATTTAACAAATTAACACCAAAGTAACATATAATTCCATCTAATTAATATTCAATTCATCAATTTAACATCAAATTAAAAATCAATTTTTCATCCAATTAACATTTAATTTTATATAATAAACATTTAGCTCATTAAATTAACAATTAAATTCAACAAGTTAACAATAAATTACTCAAATTAACATAAAATTAATATTGAATTCATCTAATTTGCATTCAACTTTATTCAATTAACACTAAATTAATCAAATTAACATCCAAAATTATTTAAAAAATATTCAATTTATCAAATTAACATGTAATTTCATCCAATTAAAATTAATTTATCAAATTAACCCCAAATTAACATTTAATTCATCAAATTAACACCAAATTAACAATCAATTTCATTTGATTAACATTAAATTTTTTTAATAAGCATTTAATTCACTAAATTAACATTCAAATTCAACTAGTTAACATTAAATTAATTAAATAAACTTTCAATTTCGTTCAATTAACATTCAATTCATAAAATTAATATTCAATTTCATCAAATTAACATGTAATTTCATCAAATTAACATGTAATTTCATCAAATCAACCCCAAATTAATATGTAATTTTATCCAATTAAAATGTAATTTATCAAATTAACACTAAATAACATTCAATTCATCAAATTAACACCAAATTAACAATCAATTTCATCCAATTAACATTCAATTTTTTTTAATAAGCACTTAATTTTTAAAATTAACATTTATATTCAATTAGTTAACATTAAATTAATAAAATAAACTTTCAATTTCATTCAATTGACACTAAATTCATCAAATTAACATTCAAATTATCAAATGAACATTCAGATTTATTAAATTGACATTCAATTTCATCAAATTAACATGTAATTTCATCAAATCAACACCAAATTAACATATAATTTTATCCAATTAAAATTTAATTTATCAAATTAACACTAAATTAACATTCAATTTATCAAATTAACACCAAATTCATCAAATTAATTTAACGTTAACTAGTTGAATTTGAATGTTAATTTAGTGAAGTAAATGTTTATTAGAAAAAATTAAATGTTAATTAAATGAAATTTACTGTTAATTTGGTGTTAATTTTATGAATTGAATGTTAATTTGGTATTAATTTGATAAATTAAATTTTAATTCGATGAAATTCCATGTTAATTTGGTGTTGATTTGATAAATTGAATATTTTTAAATAATTTTGGATGTTAATTTGATTAATTTAGTGTTAATTGGATTAATTTGAATGCAAATTAGATGAATTCAATATTAATTTGATGTTAATTTCAGTAATTTATTGTTAACTTGTTGAATTTAATTGTTTATTTAATGAACTAAATGTTTATTAGCTAAAATTGAATGTTAATTTGGTGTTAAATTGATGAATTGAATATTAATTAGATGAAAATTGTATATTACTTTGGTATTAATTTGATAAATTGAATATTTATTGTTTGATTTGGAATATTAATATAATATTAATTTTTTAATTACATGTTAATTAAATACTTTGGTTGAAAAATAATAGTAATTTAGTGTTAATTAATTGCAAGTTGAATTTTAATGTTAATTTGATGAATTGAACGCGTTAATGTAATATTAATTTTTTAATTACATGTTACTTAAATACTTTTGATGAAAAATAATATTAATTTAGTGTTAATTTGATAAATTGAATCTTTATTGTTTGATTTGAAATGATAATATAATATTAATTTGTTAATTACATGTTAATTAAATACTTTGGATGAAAAATAATAGTAATTTTGTTTTAATTAATTACAAGTTGAATTTTAAGGTTAATTTGATGAATTGAATGTGTTAAAGTAATATTAATTTGTTAATTACATGTTAATTAAATACTTTGGATGAAAAATAATATTAATTTAGTGTTGATTTGACAAATTGAATCTTTATTGTTTGATTTGAAATGTTAATATAATATTAATTTATTAATTACATGTTAATTAAATAATTTGGATGAAAAATAATAGTAATTTAGTGTTAATTAGTTACAAGTTGAATTTTAATGTTAATTTGATGAATTGAATGTGTTAACGTAATATTAATTTGTCAATTACATGTTAATTAAATACTTTGGATGAAAAATAATATTAATTTAGTGTTGATTTGATAAATTGAATCTTTATTTTTTGATTTGGAATGTTAATTTAATATTAATTTTTAATTACATGTTAATTAAATACTTTGGATGAAAAATAATAGTAATTTAGTGTTAATTAATTACAAGTTGAATTTTAATGTTAATTTGATGTATTGAATGTGCTAATGTAATATTAATTTGTTAATTACATGTTAATTAAATACTTTGGATGAAAAATATTATTAATTTAGTATTGATTTGGTAAATTGAATTTTTATTGGATGTTAAATGAATGAATTGAATGTTAATTGGATATTTTAGAATAAATTGGATGAATTTAATATTAATTAAGTTGAATTCTAATGTTAATTTGATGAATTGAATATGTTAATGTAATATTAATTTTGTAATTATATGTTAATTAAATACTTTTGGGTTAAGTTAAAATTATTACAACAAAGTTTTTCACCACTAAATAAATTGCAACAAAGTTATCATATTTGGGTACATCTTTTGTGTTAAATTAAAATAGGTAAAAAAACTTGGGGTAATATGAAACTAATTACATAGTTGATGGTGTAATATGAAAAATATGAGGAAAAAATTTAAAAAGAGTGATCATTTAGGGGTATAAGTGTAATTTATTTTAGACATGATCGCTAGTTGAGCGTTCGAGATTCGTTTGCTACAAAGATCGCTATTGAAACCCCGATTGCTATGCAAGCGATCCAGACAAAAAAAAATAGTACTTTTAATCAAAAAAGTGATACTCTTAATCAAAAAAATGATACTCTTAACCAAAAAAATGGTAATGTTAACAAAAAAAATGATACTCTTAACAAAAAAAATGATAATATTAACCAAAAAAATAGTACTCTTAACCAAAAAAAATTAGTAATATTAATCAAAAAAGTGGTACTCTTATCCAACAGTGTACTCTTAACAAAAAAAGTATTAATCTTAATCAAAAGAATTGTAATATTAACCAAAAAAAGTGATACTCTTAACCAAAAAAAGTGTAATGTTAACCAAAAAAATTTATTTATTTATTTTTAAATTTAAGCTTATCATAATCTCAACCTTAATTTTAATAA